AAATCTTCTCAAGAAGTCGATTAACAACGTTAAAACAGCTTATCGACTTCTTGAGAAGATTTCTAAGAAGAAAGTAAACCTACAGACATCGGTCTTATTCAACAAAATCTGCCTACTTTGATCTAGCTGTATCCAGAGAATTAATAATGAACATATGCTTAGTTTCTGTATTATTCCGTTTATGGGAACATCTGCCTAGTATTTATTTTAGTTTGAATTAAAGAGTTTGTTTGTTTAAAGTTATGCACAAAGCTACACAATGGGCCATCTGTGCTCTGCCCACCACGGGTATCGAAACCTGGTTTCTATTGCTGTACCAATGGGGGGGGGGGGATTAGAGAGCACTCTGATTCCTGAATTCTCCAGGGGAATTAAAGTGAAAATGATCTATTTTTAAGCAAGATTCTTATTTTACTTTTCAACTAATAAAAACTGTAATAAAGTTGCTTTATTTATCATGTCTGTCCTGGTCCAGTATTCCTACTATATTACCATGTTTTTCACATGACCCCACCCTTGTATAAGACAAGAACCCCATATAACAATAAAATAAAATAATGGAAATTTATTGCTTAATACTGATAAAACACTCAAAGACACACACATAGAATCAGCTCTCTGACAATTCCTGTCTCCCTTCTATTACTTTCATCTTTCAAACTACCCCATTCCAAGACTGCTTGAAACTTTCAGTTTTATACCATGTACAACATTAATGATGGCAATCCCTATAAAACAGTGATCTTTATTGGAGCCAGAATTGAAATAAAAGATTTTTGGAATCATCTTACTTCTAAGTTTATGAGCACATATAAATAACTGACAGTACTTCAATTTCCAAACTCCTCACAGATGCTGAAGCAACACTTAAAATAATCCAGTCACTGATTCTTCCTTCTATCATATTAGGTTTCTAGTTCTTGGTGTCACTGAAGCCAACCTTTTCACCGACATCAAAAACTACCATAAAGGACTTTCTGGTAGCATATGCAGTGCAGAGAGTTAATTTAGTTTTTGGTCTCTTTTAATGTAAAAAATAAAGTATTCTCTGAATAACTATGTTGTCACATGTATGTATAGGTACTACAATTTTTCTTTTGCAAGGGTATTGTAATGATGTGGATTACTTCTCCAACTAAATTACTGTTACACGAGTTCAAGCTGATAATATATATATCACCTGCCAAATGTTTAAGTTGATTTTTAATATTTTCATTTATACTGATTTTTTTTTTTCCATAGATTTCTGGTATGCATAAATCAGCTTTAACTGTGTGATTAACAATCACCTTGAAATAGCTTGCTGATACGCCTTGGTCTGTTCCAAAACTTTCTTATCAATGTCTCAAATTCAAACTAAGTTCTATGAACAAAAAAATTAAGTTTATATGTACACAAAATTCATTAAAGAAGATCACGATACATGTACTTCTGTGGTCATTTTTGTACTTTTTTTTTAAAGTTATAAGTAACTTCAACAGCATATGCAGATATCATCTCTCTGTGCCAAGTATTTTACAAATATGAAGGTCACTTGTATACAACATAGCAGACAATATTTTGTGGTTTTATGATGGACCTTACTTCTGCTATCTACGGTGGTCAGTAACTCGTGTACTATACTCTCAAAACAAATGAATAACAATAAAAAGTGAGAAGGTATCAAATCAACTTATTATTATAGTACACAAAAAGTTGTTTTAAGAAATGTATCACTGTTTTACATGATGAATGTACATTTACAGTCTAAATGTATGTACTGTATGTCTTGCATTAGGATGTATGCAGTTATGGCTGCAACTTTTATGTTTTTTATGAATAAATATTTAGCTGAAAGAAATATTACTATTTAACATCTTTTTTGAGAGAGCAATAGGAACGTGGGGCAAAATAGGTGAGGAAGTGGAGGGCATAAAATAACTTGCCTAGGGTGCAAAATACCCTAGTGCCAGACCTGTGCAGAAGAGCTCAAGAGTAACATAAACAGAATCTCTAACAAAAGATATGCTGAAGAAAAGATACAATAGTTACTTGACAGGCTTGTTGATAAATGAAAGGATTATGGTCTCAGAATAAATGTCATCAAAAGTAAGACAATGGTAATTTCATAATCTGACAAAGCTTCCAAAACATGCAACAAAATATAAACAGTGAGAACAAATAGATAACTTTACTTAGTTAGGGGGTCAAATATCAAAGTGTGGAAAACATAAGGAAAAGGATGAGAATAGCAAAAATAGTATTCTTTAATCTTGAAGAAGTTCAAATCCTTTTGAACATCCTCATCCTATATGATTGCCAGCTGGTTGTAAAAATTCTTGTCTTACCAAAATACCGGTTGAATCCAAACTAGTTAAGATTAAGGGGGGGGGGGGGCTTAAATGATCAAATTAAGAATTTTAGCATCTTTCGCTAAACATTAGCTAAATCTGTTTGGGCATTTTCATTATTTGCCTAAAAGTTTTGCAACAAAAATATATTTTTCTCCTAAGATTTCACCAAAAAGACTGATGAAAACTTTGCTGACAGAATTCCCAGAAAATTGTATTTGTACAGAAATATGGAATAAGGGCACCCCACCCCCCTATAGTGTCCCTGTTTTTATTCTAGAAAAAATTCTTTACTAATGTTTTGCTTAGACACCCAAAATCACATAACAACTTATTAGTTAACAGGAACTGCAATATGAGTTTAGGCAAAACAAGTGTGTGTGGTAAACACATTCTTTGAAAAATGGTATTTAGCTGATGGCCATTATTACATTGTGTTAGTTGCTAATTACTAAATAAATATCAATCTGATGTTTGGACAGAATCAAATATATTAAAGTATAAAAAGGTATAGTCATAATAATAAACAAATACTGATTTTACTTTGCATTGTAAGCTCTTAATTTTTGTGTGTGTAAGCCTGAGTGGATATAGTTTTTGAATTTGTTAAAAGGAATACACACACACATATATATATATATATATATATATCTAAAATAATAATGAAATCTTTATTGTAAAACAAGTAAAGTATACCAAAAACCTTGCCAACTGCATCTTAATATCATAGATAAAACAGAAGCCTGTTAGTTTCTATATATCAAAAAATAATGAGTAAGTAGAGTTTGGATAATATTTTGGCGTATCACTGAGCTCAAATCATGTTTAAAAACAGTTTCAAAATAATTTTAACTTAATATTATCACATCAACAGTTAGTAAAGTAAAAAAAAATGCTAAAACATACAAAAATAGAATTATTTTGCTATTCAAATAAATCTAACCTTTTGGAAGTTTTCCTCCAAGAACAGAAAACTTTTCAGGGTTTTTCAGAAACTCAACTATTTCTTGTAGTTCTTGTTTAGCCTCATCTACCTGAAATATTCATTAACAGTTCATCAATCTACAGTAATTGTTCTCTTGACTGTGAAAGTTATCACCACTAACTAACTGAAGAATTTGAAATAAAAGTTAGTCAGTACAGAGAAACAACTTTAACCATATGTGCAAGGATAGATGGTCAAAGCAAGCATGCCACAATCTTTTATAGAGTACCTTTCCTCATTGCTGATTTGGTATGAGTTCATGGTAGAAGAGGGTAAATATCAAATATAATATACATGAATTCCAAAAATAAAAATAAAACTGCATACATGTATTTCAGCGGTTTGGAGATTATGCAAATTGTATGCTAGACAACAGTATTTTTATTCTTCACATGAACATCATCTTGCACTCCAATTCAGAGTCTAACTTATGTCATCAATTCACAAATTGAGTACAAATACTTTTCTAACACATCTGATTTTTGTGTACAACAGACTTGTACATTTTATTAAAAGCTTACTGCATTTTGTGTGTGTTTTTCTTATAACAAAGCTACATCGAGCTACCTGCTGCATCCACTGAGGGGAACCACACCCCTTATTTTAGCAGTTTAAATCCAAAGACTTACCACTGTCCCAGCAGGAGACCTGCATTTTGTATAGATATACATAGTAAATTTAGAATTATAATAAAAATTCCTCCTGCGCATTCCTAAATTTATAAACTTAATTTTTGGGGTTAAGACTTATCCAGACAGGTACTTTAATATAAAGAGAAGGATTTGTTTTAAATAGTAGCTAAAAACATTATATAGTTCAAACCACATTTTTGATTAAAAACACTACACACATGTTTATGCAAATTCAAACACTAGCAAAAGAAAATAATTAAAAAATAAATGTTATGGCATAAGTTCAAACACACTGCCATGGTATATTTAGAAAAGTAAAAAAACACTTGATAAGACACACAGCACACATACACACACATACATATATATATATATACAATTGGGACATTTAAATCAGTTGCTGGGTGGTCCTGTTATTAGGGGGTCCCACACAATTATAGTTCCTGGCCACAGAAGTGTGAGAATGCAAAGTTGCAGTTATGAATGTACAAGTCTCCTATAAACAAAATACTAAATTATTGTACACCAAACAACAAATGAGAAACATCTTCAGTATTATTATATGCTGAGTTTCCAATATTTATTTCAAGGCAACCATACTCCCACTAGTTGTAAATTGACTGTAATAAAATTGTGATGATTATTAAACCTTTCCACTGCCATACAATGACAACCGAGCATATGTCAGAACCAAAAACAGGGTGCTGGTGAGTTGGTGCTTGACCAATAAGGGCCAGTGATATATCAAATGATGGCTCTTTTCATGCTCTAAATTTGTTTGGGTGGTTTTATTGGGTCCAGAAGCATTTTCTGTTTGAAAACACACAAACAAAACTTGAAAAACATTAATAAACACCTTTTAGCCATTGAATTTGTAGAAACATAGCCATACAATAAAATGTGTGGTTCGTACTACATAATGCATAAACTGATATAAATATATATGTCTGCCCAAATCCAACCAACAGCATGTCAAAAAATGATGAATTTGAATTGTAAACAGAAGATACAATAACTTGGCAACAGTCTGCTTTATGTCATATCATTGGGGGTAAACAGATAATATGTTAGCCTGGCTAAATACTGCTAAACATCATATCATAGTTTAAGTTACTTTAGTTTAAAACCAATGCGAATACAACATTTCTTCCTTACTTACATAGGTATATATGTAAGTTTATACTTCATTTTTAACATTTGGTTGTTGACAATTTTCATTTCATTTATTAGTATAATACAAATTCATGCATATGGGTTTTCAAATGAAGTACCGTATTAGGATGACATTAAATCTCACCTTGTCATGGGTTTCTTGCAATGTCTCAGGTTACCCGGTAAAGCGATGATAATTTGATATCAATCATAGATATTTCATTAGCATTGTTCCAATGAAATGGTTAAATGGTGCAAAAGATCAATTTACAGGTATGATTATTAATTGCTTTTCATTAATTATTAACTAAATCATTGAAATTGCACTGTAAATCTTTTAATTTTTGCCCGTGGAATCCAATGGTGTGTAAATATTGTTCTTTTCACAATGTAGAATTCACCAAATCTCCCTATTATTATGCTTACTACACAATACACTGGACCAGTAATTCTATGTAATAATTTATTAAACAAGTTTCAAAGTAATTTGAAATCCCAGATGTGAATAACACAATGTTCACCACAGAAGAGTTACAGACAAGCTTTGAAATGGGAGTCATACTCTGACAAAATTTATAAAACTTCACACTCTGTTGGAAGTAAAGCTTCATAAAATTTTCTAATGATAAAATGAGCAATATCTTTGTCTTAATAGTCCTAATTTTTATATATATTTATTCTGGCAACAATGTTGTTCTATCCCTCTTATCTGAAATCGCATTACAAAAAATGCACAAATAATTATGTTTCGTTCCGAAAAATTTACAGTGAGAACACAGTGCTCACTTTTATCTTAGCAGTATGTGGTTTATTATAATTGTATAAATTCATAAGCCTTGTTTACAAAATGAATGTATCTAGAATGTCAGAAATCATGAATTAACTACATTGCACTGCCTTAGGCAATGAAACACTTGATGGTTGCATAAAATATTGACCTGATTGAAACAGGAAAATTAGTTACCTTTACTTAAAACTATTATTATTTAATAGTTATAAAATTAGTTGAGTCAAAACAATACAGATTTGAAACCACATGAAAATTAATATGTAAGCTTACAGGGAGTTGAGTACATTATATTACAATGATTTTTAATATGCAAATCAGCAAGACACTTCACAACAATAATAAATTAAAGTTGCAATGGTAAAACATGTATTATAACTACATTTGGGAACCAAGACCATACATAGAGAGACCTGCAACAAGTCATGGTAAGCAAAGTGTGGCATCTTGTAACAGGTGAAAATCCATGAACACAAAGGTCAGTGGCAAAAGACATCAATGTGCACCAAGCAACAGTATGCAACTAATCAAGAAGGATCCCTTGGAAAACAACCCAATATGATACGAGTTCACCAAAATAAGGCTTCCACTCTTACCTCCCATTCAACAGTTGCATACCTCAAGCAGTTGGTATTCATGTTCTTCTGTACGACGTGATACCAGTGAAGTCACTGGAGGCAGAACCTATAAAATTCTGTGCAACTGAATTGTTGAAACTGACACTGGAAAATCATCATACTTGTACACTAGATTGATTATGGAAAGTGTGTAGGGAAGAGTGGTGCATCTTGGATAATACAATCTTTGCAACAAAACCTACACTGCAGGGTAATTGACAAGAGGCAAGGTGAACAGATAGAGTATGACCAAACATGGATTCTAATGACATGGAAGGGCTCTAAAATCATTTTCATATAATGTACTTAACCTCTGTAAAGTACATTATTGGATATGGTTATTACTACTTTAACATTTATGATGATTATTCTGTACTGTTAGCTTAATATATAGATTCATTACTAGCCTAAATATCCAAAGGTAGAAAAACACCCAGAATAAATTATTCACACTATATCAAAAAACATCATTAATAGTAAAGGTACCCAAACGACAACTCAGCGCATGTTACTTATTATAGGTTTTAGTTTTCCTGCTTTTTATTTATTTATGTTATTGCATACTTTGGGCCAATTTTTTTTATAGAATAGGTTTCATTAATTTATAGGTTATGTTTTTCATTTTTATGTATAATTTTCTTATTTTAGGCAAAAACTTGTTGATAATTGTGTATATTAAATTGATACCATCATTTTTGGTAGATTATGCTGTTTGTTTTGAATTTTGCACAAAGCTACATGAGGGCTATCTGCACTAGCCATCCCTAATTTAGCAGCAATAAAGGAAAGGCAGCTAGTTAACACCACCCACTGCCAACTCTTTTACCAACAAATAATGGGATTGACCATAATATTATAATGCACCAATGGCAAAAATGTTTGGTGATGGGGATTCAAACCTGTGACAGTCAGATTGCGAGTTGAGTATCCTAACCACCAGGCCATGCCAGGATATTATGCTGTTAGTGGAATATTGTAAACATATGCTTTTATTGTATTAAAACAAAATTAAGACTTGAAGATATTGCTCACACCATATGCTAATAGTACTTTTGTGTGTAAATCTACAAAATATGGAATAACACCTCATTAAGTCAACTGAACTAAGTTCATTTTTCTGAAGCTAAACATACTATAATTCTGAATTTACTAAGTGTATTTTTATGAAATTTGGAAAGCTTATTTTATACACAAAAAATAAGATATTTTGATAAAGTATTTTACTAAAGATTTGTCTGCGAAATTCCAAAGCCTTTACTGAATCAGGAGAGTAAAAGGTGATTTTTTATACTAAGAACAAAAGTACTTATTTTCATCTTAAAGTTTCATACCTAATTTGTATAACCTCCTAAATGAATATCCAAAGTCTCTTTTTGTTAAAACTTTATATTTCATTCTCTTATTTTCTCTACCATAACACTAATTGTAACAAAATCATCAATGCACAATGAAAAGTTGAAAAATATGAAATACATTGAACAATGTTGTTTTTTCCTTGGCAATATTGATCATAAATAAAGTTACAGTACCAACATCTAGCATTTTCACTTTTATGGTTTTATTGTTGTCCTTGGTAGTTGTATCAAATTAAGTACTAACTGCCACATGAAAAGCAATAAACCACAACAGAAGCCCATTAGCTGTTTCCTGTAGAGCTAAAGTAAATATTGCATGATTGTGAGGTGTCTTATTACATTGGGTCAGGCAAGTATTATTTTAGAAATTTTGTTAAGATAAGCTCAGAAGTTCATAAATTTTACATTTTAGTTACTTGTGTTAAAAATACTAGCAGAAATGTCACCCTACAGGTGGCTGTTTGTGCTAGTAATTATTAATCATAATATTCTTACTTAATTCTAAA